TCTGTTAGTCTGAACTCTTATTACTTTTTCATTTCTTTTCACAGAAATGATACCAAAGAAGATGTGTTTGTTCATCAGGTAAGAGTGTGGTATTTGTAGTTAGAGATAAGCATTGTCATGGCCTACAATCGTTTTCTAGTGTAACTTCTAGAGCAGCTGGGTCGCTGGGGTCAGCTTACCTTGGCAGCTGCTTAGAATATTTACTTCAAATATCTCAAGTTGGCATGCATGTGTTTCAGGGAGGAATACAAGGATATGTTTCTTCCTCTTTCAAAGTCGTATTTGAAAGAGTAGATACTGCAAACCTTCACTCTGTCTTGTGTCTGCCTTAATTTGAACATTAGAGTTCCACCCACACCCAGAGGAGATGATGACCCTGTTTACCTGTCCTTCCCCCCCTTTTCTTCTACTTCATCACTTTCCTCCTGTGTCTTGTTTCTTCCCACCATCTTAATCTGTGGGTCTGTTCTGTCTGCCCTCCCTGGTATTGGAGAGAAAGTGATCTGGCCTGGCTTTTGACCAGGTTGGGTTGCCGTCAGCTGTTGCTGCATGAGGCAGCTGTTCTTGAGAAGAAGGGGTGGAAGGCGGTGTGCTGAGTGTGCCCAAGGAGGGAGAGGCTGCCAATCAGCCCGCCATTGGCTAACCTATGAACTGTCAGTGGGCTGTTCTAAGTTTATATCATGAGTCTTGGATTGCAGACAACTTGTGGGAAAGCAGAGGATGCTGCTTGCATTCTGGTGCTAACTGATTGGCTGGCTTAGATCTGCTTTTGCATCGCCCGAAGCTTTAGCAACAAGTGAAATATTGCACTTGAACTTGTCTCATGTGGAAGATCTGCTATCCGTGTGATTGTTAAAATCATGAGAGTCCTCTGTAGCTCCATGGAAATATAGCTGGTGAAATTACCCTCAGAGTTGGTCACTGAGAGAAGAGGGTATGTGCGTGTGTGATTAAAGTTGCTGTTGAATGTCAAGTTAGTCATGAAGCCACAAACTAGGCATCATAACTGTTTCTCTGAGTCAGGGGGTTTAGACTCATTATTCCTAAAATGGATGAAACTGAGTAAGACTAGTGCCTGGAACAAGTGAAGGTGGTGTCAGTCCATGTTCTCAGTATGCGTTCCTAATTCAGTTAGTAGAACAGTAGTGAGAGCTCTCAATGCATATATGAATTTCTCAAGAGGTCTTAATTCATAAACAAAACTGTTAACAGTCACCCTCCTTTAATGACCATGTGCTTTGTACGCACTGATTCATATGTGTATCTTTTTCTAGATACACTGGCACTGTGCTGATACACAAGTTCTTGTAACAAAATATATTTTGCATAGGCAACATTGTAAAACTGCCTTGAAAACAAGGTATCCCTGAGATCTGTGTGAGGATATCCAGCTATCCTTCTGATGGCAAAAACTACATGGAGCATCATTTTCTGTGGGAAGACTGCTTGTGAAGGCTTCAGAACAATGAAGGCCAGCAGCAAGCTACTCTCTGTGCTGTTATATCTGTAGAGATGATTATTTAACTCTTTGTAAACTGATGGTGGAACTTTGCTGGTTTTTCTTTTTTCCACCACAGAAGATGAGATGTTCTAGACACAAACACTAAAGCAAAACTGGCTTGATGTTTTAGAAATACCACATATATCCAATGTGAGCTTGCATGCTAACTTGCCTCTGGGCTCTGCATGACAGAGTATGTTTTCCCAGATACAGCCTGCCTCAGCTGCAGTCAGATATTCTGAAGCTTCTGTTTTGAGTTGTTTTACTACACAGCAGCAGAAAGTGAGGGTATAAAGGGGTGATGTGACCTCTTTCTCCTCCCGTAATGTGCTGGAAGGAGATCCTTGTTCCTGGGGCCTTGTGGCCACTGCTCAGTGCTGGACAGCCCTTCTTGGGTGGGGGAGCCAGATCTGATGGGCTGTGAAGCAGGAGAATGAGTCCTCTGCAAACATCCTGCTGGGAGCTCCCTGTCTTTGGTGGTTAGTGCATATGCAGCTCCTCCTCCACTTCCCCTGCACCCAGCTTGGGATGGGCTGGATTATACAGCTAATCCTTTAAGAATAAGGTTGACCTAATTGAACAGGGACCACCCCCCTCCACTGCCCATGTGTACACACACACACAGGAGGAAACAGCCTGGTCTCATGATCAGGATAGGGGGTTAATTCTCAGTGTATGGCTATTGGATGCTATCTATAAACTGAGCACAGATTAAAATGCTTTTCGCTTTAGGACATGCATGGCTTGCTTTGAATTAACCCTTTGTCTTACAGAGGACCCAAACAGTAGTATGGTGAAGGGAGAGTCTTACTTAGCTTTGTCTTGCTTGCATCTTTGTGCAATTGGCTTGTGTGGGGTGCTGTCTTGGTGGAGTGTGTTGGGGTGTCTTGCAGTTTAACCCTATTAAAAGTAGGTTAAAAGAAGTTAAAGTTAATGAGAGAGTTGGAATCAAGAGGCAGTGAAGACGAAGCTAGTGCAGCGGATGAGTTGAATGGCTTTCTTTTTCTTGTCTGAACTGATCTATGTTCCTCTTACATTACAGTGCTTATAGTGCAGCCTAATACAGATGTATCAGTAACTGGTGTGGCAGATCGTGGCTTTCACTGTGACAGTGCTGGATGTAAACATGATGTGATATCTTGTGTGGGAAGAACTTTTCTAAACAGAGGACTGAACTAACTGAAGTCTGTCATAGCCTTCTGTTCATCAGTGTCCCTTTAGAAAAAATCTCAGTTTATTGTTCAGTGCTGTCTATGTTAATACAGAACATCTGTCCCTTGAATCAAAGGCCCTAAGCCTGCAGGTGATGAACAGCAGCAGGAAGAACAGCATTCTCTCCTCTCTGGGTGTATGGAGTAAAAGTCTTTTCATCAAGCTTGAAGTTCAGGCCTCTTATTTCTTCAGTGTTTACCTACTGCTGATGTAGCAGTAGGAAAGTCATATGGTTTCTACTCTGAATTCTAGGATGTACTCAGAATTATTCCTGGTTGCCTTCATGAAACAACTCAGTCTACCAAGTAGTAGCTTCTATCTTCTATCCAGTTGCAATTCTAAATCTTGAAGTCTCTATACATAAGTCTGGAATAGTAGTTGTGATGTCCTGTTGAATTTATCTTCCATTACTTTCAAGAAAAGTTTGAGTAGCTTTACTTATCTTAATTATGCCCTTTATTGAAAAGGGGTCTTTCTAGTTCTCTTCCCCCTTTTCAAGAAAGAGGACTTGAAAATGCAACTTGACATGTCATGCAGAGCACAAGTCTGCTGAGGTCATGCCAATTATTTCAATACAAGTGAAATAATTAAACCCTTAATCTACTGTAAGATAACAATTTTTAGTATTAGTATGTCTTTTTTTGAAAAGCTAGCAATTCCAGGTGGTTTTAGTAATGGGCTGTTACTAATATGTTAGCAAGAAAGCAAATTGTCTGTACTGGACAGTGGGAGTCTGCCTGTTGTGGTGTTTCCCAAAAGAATGTACTTGAGCAGTTCATTCTGTTCCTATATCAGAAAAGTTCTTGGATTGTTTATTGCTTTGGTATCAATACTGTCTATGCTCTCACGTTCTTCAGGGACACTGTGGGGTGCAGAGAATAACTGTCTAGATGTGCAGCTGCAGTGCTACAAGGACATCCAGGCCTATTGCCTTAAAGGAAGGGGGGTGGTTTTTCATCGACAAATAGAAGTGTCTTTTCTAAACTGGTCAAGCTGAACTTTAAGCTGACTAGAATTTTTCATTTGGTACTTCAATAGACTAAAATATTTCTCACTGTTGATAGAATGACTATAGTTGCCATGCACTGGCAACAACTTGGCTGTTCTTCATTTGGCCTGTTTTTTCTAAACTGCTTATGACTTTCTGTTTTTGCCTTGTACCCCATTTTTAAGTGGGATTTGTGTACTTCTAAGTACTAGATCTGTACCTACCTCATTTATGCTAACAAGACACCTGTATCAGGGAACTTAAAGTACATTGGTCTTTAATTGAAGAGTACTTCAGTAAAAAATAAATTACTGGCTCAGTATATTGACATCTTCAGTATATATGTTGTTTAGTGTTCTTCAGTCTCTTTAAGTTTGTAAACCCTTACTTAATGAGCTGACAGTAGCCTTGCCTTGCTTTGCCTTGCTTAATGCATTTTAGGAATCCTAGAAGCATGCCTCTAAATGGAAATCACCCTAGAATGATTTTCAGCCTATCAACAGTGGATGCCCAAGTGTTTCTGTGAGTTTAGAGATTGAGGGTAATACCAAGGGGGTCTAAACAATGACATTAATAGCATTTTTGTGTTTGTCTGCAAGGGATGTCTGAGGTAATCTGTTCTGGTACTGTTTTGCTGTGTTAAGTAGGGACTTGCTTAACTTTCTGGGGTCTCCCTTCCAGTGCTTAAGTAAAATGCTTATTTCTATTATTTCAGAGTTACAGTAATTCTTTAGTTACCATGGATTGCCAAAATATCTTTTTGTTGATGTCACCTCCTCCAAAATGCTCTTGATTTTTAAGCTCTTTGTAGTGCTCAGCATGTCTCCTAATGATTGCTGCAGTTGCTATCTTAGTAGAGCATGCAGGAAATAGAGAATTCATGCAGAATGGTCCTGATATGCTGTAGGCTTGAGAGAAGGCATCTTGGGGCAACAGCTATTTTGTAAGCTTATGAGTACTGAAGGGGTAAATTCTGACTCAGTAAGGAGATTCTGTGAAAAGAGAGATCTATGTATCTTATATATTCTGGTATGGTGGCTAATTATCTGGTATGTGGTTTTGAGACTGTAGCAGAAAGACTACTCTTTCCTCATCCACGAGGCTTTGAAGGAATGAAATGAACTAATGTATCTTTCTGTATCTTTATTTAAAGACTGCTATAAAGAAGAACAACCCACGGAAGTATCTGCGCAGTGTTGGTGATGGAGAGACTGTAGAATTTGATGTGGTCGAGGGAGAGAAGGTGAGATTACTGTGGCAAAGAGGTGTGATCCAACAGAGTTCTCGGTGTTACTTCTCAGAAGAATACAAGTTTTGCTGTATATCTAGTCTTTTTAATGTATTAATCCCTGTGGTGGGTGACACATTCTCGCTCCATAACACCAGGATTATGAATAACAGGCCTGCTTTTGCACTACCTGTGAGGAAGGAATAGCTAGGAAATTGTTATATGCATAACATGTTCATGTTTTATCTTCCTTCCCCTTCTTGCTGTACCTGGCTCTTTTCTTCCATACGCATGGCTTACATTTTTTAACTTCCAGGGTGCAGAAGCAGCTAATGTCACTGGACCAGATGGAGTTCCTGTAGAAGGCAGCCGCTATGCTGCAGACCGACGCCGCTATCGACGTGGCTATTTTGGCAGACGCCGTGGGCCACCTCGAAGTGTAAGTGTAACTTTTATTTATTTATTTTTTTTTAAACAATGGTCATCCTACCTCCATAGTAATTCTAATTTTCTCAAGAGAGGGAGCTACAGGTTTGACTCAAGTTAATTAAATTGTGAGTGTTCCTCAGTAATATTCTAGCTTTTTCCAGTACATCACTGATGTTGTTGGTGATAGCTCTGTTACTGGGTATCTGGTAGGCTCTTTCTTTTCATCCCATTCCAGAACTGTCTTAAGTATCTTTTTGGGTGTTAGGATATCTGCTTGTGGAGAAATAAGATACCTAGGCAGTTAACCATGCCCTTTACATGAAGCAATAGGAGGAAGTATTTGTACTGACCTAAGTAAGCAGTGTAATAATCACTTGTGAAGGTTGAGTAGAGAAATTTTTTTCTTCAAAAGCTCATTGTTTTTGTATGGCACAGTAGTAGTTTAACAAACTAGTTGCTACTCTCACATAGCATCCCTTAATAGAACTCTGTCTGCAGCAGTGCAGTATAAAAATGCATTTTTCTTTAAACTGACTATCTAAACATGTTATAAACAGTTGTGCATAGGTTTGGAAAGCTTTCCTTCAAGATTTTGCAGAGGGGAGGTCTCACTAAGTGATAGGTGGCTGTAGTTCTGACAGTTACCACTATCTGTTTTGTGCTTTTGCTGCATTGGTGCCTGGAGTAATCCAATGACTTGAACATAGTGCAGGCTTGACAATATTTTTTTTTTCCTAACAGTTGAGTCTGATCATCTTTACAGGAATGTGGTGTTCTAGTATGAAAGTCTTGCTTCATCCAAGCAACATAACTCTCTTCATCTTGTTCTGCAGTTGCCAGTGTGGAGGCATCCTTCTCTATAGCCTAGCTGTTGATGCTTGTCTGTTGAAGTATTTTCTTTTAATGCTGTTAGATACCACCAAACTTTAAATATGTGAAAGGTGTTCTTTGAATGAAGCCCTGTAGACTGCTAGAAGTTGGTGATGGCAACTGATACTTTATTACTGAGTGTGTCTGTGTTGTGATAGTTTGCAGCTTACACTTTCATTCCATGCAGCAGAGAGCTAAGAGTTGATGAGCTAACTAGAAATGAGGAATATACTGGATATGTTCTAGTATCAACTCTGTTTCCTTTTGCTCTGCTGAAATTAAAATCTCATTCTACTGTCTAGTGAATGCTTTAGTTATAGTATTTGATTGTCTGGGACCTGCTTCACATTTCAAATGAGCAAGCATATGAGGGTTTTAACACCCCTCTGCACTGCTGAGTATGTAAAGCAGCTCTTTTCCTTTTGCCTGAAGAATGATTGTGTGAGGCTTGTCTCAAGCATGGGGAACATTCAATCTGTAGGTTCTTGTGCTGAGCCATGTTTTCTTAAACATCTGATGGAAACTCATTAAGATTAAACTCTGACTAGCATGTGACAGTATAACACGCTTAAATTCCAATACTTGAAGTATATGGAACAAGATTGAGACCAAAATTGTGGTTCCATATTGTTTCCCTTACACTTGCTTATATCTAAATCCTCAGACTGGTACCCAAAACACAGCAGGCCTCAATGGTTATGTGTCTGGGGCCTGGAAATCTTGAGAGAGAGAGAGACCTCTCTCAATTAATATTTTTATATATTTAAAACTAGAAGCATACTGGTCTTCCTCAGTGGTTGATGATTCTGGAAGCATTATAGCCTTCAAAACGTGTGGATGATCACTGCTTATGAAGTTTTTTGTCTTCCTCTTCAGTTTAAGATTCCTCTGAGTGTTCAGCCTGCCCAACAACACATTGTTCCTTTAGAGTTGGTAATCTGTGAGCTTAAGAGTAGATTCTGTTCTGCTGTCAGATGTTGAAGTTCTTACAGTACCATCCCTTAATATGCCTGCCTTTAGCAGATAACCAAGTGAACTCCATGATTGCTGTAACTTTTCAAATACAATAGTGGCCAGTTCCTTGAATGCTCTTAAATGCATGCTGCCTAATCACAAACTTGGATGCATGTGATTTGCTTGAGTGATACCTCACTGTCAGAGATGAGCTCAGTCAAGAGTTCTGAGAAAGAAGTGGGCAGTTATGCGTACTAAACTTTGTGTATATTTCTTTGGGCAATTCTTGCATTCTCAGCTAGTGAGGACTGACCAGTTCTGCTGGGCTTTCTTACCAACCTGTCGATTAGCTGCCTGAACAAATCAAAGCCCTACTCTGGTAAGATCTTTTTAGGGACTGCAAGGGGCTCTCTGCAGGGACTGTCTCTGAATTGTCCTAGTGTAGGTCAGTGAAACCACTCTTAACTTACCCAAATCTTGTCATGCTTTGTTTGCTTGGTTTTGATCAATTGCTTGTAGACTGAATTATCAGAAGCAATTAGCATTTATTTTTTGGAAATTTCTTGCATCAATTAACATACTCTTCATTTGGCAGTTTGCAGTAGAACTGCAGTTCTACTATATTTCAAAAGAAGCTTCTCTTTAATGACACTTCCTTACCTTCTCTTCTGATTTGCAGAGGGGTAGAAAAGTTAGCAGTGTCTGAGCTGTAAGGTACCATTCACAGAGAATAAAGGTGGTGCCTCTCCGTGTGAGTCCTGTAAGATAGTTAGATGGAAATAACACCACTCTTGAGACTTAAATTTAAGTTACTGATAGTACACTCAGCCTTCTGTGTCTAAAGAGCACCTCAAGGAATAGACTCCATTGTATCTATGCCTGTTGTTCTTCTGATGTACTGGGCTACAGAGGTGAAAGGTTTTTCTGTAACTCGGCTGCCATGTTGCTGATACTGCTTACAAAAGGGGGGAAAAAAAGAGTTGGGGGGAGGAAAAATCAATACAGTAGTTTATGGGTTGTAATAACACTCAACTTTAACATACTGAGGTGACTTCCAGCCTTCTAGAGCTTCTAACTGCTGTCACTTAACAACTCCAGTCCAACCTTCTAGTCTGTCTCTTCTAGTCAAGACTGATTTCTCCTTGTTTAACTCCATGAGGGTTGGGAAGTATGCTAGATGCTATCTTCTGTTAGCCATGCTAGCTCAAATGTCTGTACTCTAGACATAACTTACTTGACCTAGTTTTGAATATACTATATGGATTTTTTTGAAGGGTGAAGAGAATCTTCAGCAACCTGAGACTTTTCACCAGCTTTAATGGACCTTTTGAACTGTTTGGGGAGTTCTGTGGAAAGCAGTACTTTTTTTGTATTGTAATCTTCAATTTCTCTGAAGACAAGAGGCTGCAATCTTCCACAAACTGTGGTAGTGTAGACGTGACATGGAGGTGTAATCAGAGTACTATTACAGGCAATGGATCATGAAATAACCTTGAATTGATGATATCTTCTTTTAAGTACTGCATGCATTACTAACGAAGTTCTATGCATGGATCAGGTAAAATCTCTTGGGAAACATTTTAAAGGTTGACACTGTTTCCTGTAGAGAGAATGTGAAAACATGAGTACTACTGTATGAAAGTTAGAGAATGATCTGAAGAAATATAAAAATGAATGAAATTGAAGAGACAGGTGAAAAAACTCCTTGTGGTTACAGTTATGCTTAAAGACATTCTGTTCAGGGGAGGGATTAAAACTCAGTGTCTTCATGGGATAATACAGCATGCTTACCTATTTTGGTAGCCTTCAGAGACAAAAATGTGAGTGAAGCTGACCAGTTCTTTACATCCATCTTTTAGGATGACCTAGTGTATTATTAAAAGTAGGATGTAGAGTTGGAAGGTTTTAGTGGAGAATGTTAAGTGTATCATGTAGTAGATCATGTATATGTTGCGAGTTTGGTGCTTTTAATAGTACCAATGGAGTTTTTGTAGTAAATAAATGTAACTTATTGTCAGTATAATAAAGCAATCTTAAAGCTTAGGTTCTGTTTTCTGGTTAAACTGTATTTAGTGACTTCTGGCAGCATAGCAGCTTTATTCAGGAAGCATGCTTTACTTCAAACTGGCAGATCTGAGAAATTACTAGATATACGAATGTGCTAACTGAACTTTTGTGATACTGTAGAGGATGCAGGAAATAGCTGATATTTCTGGGCTAAGTAATTCATGTTTTCAACTAGCTACTTAAAACAAGCCCACATAAAATATTCACATATCAACATCCGATTCAAAATGAACAGGGAAACAGTGTCTGTATTGTTTTTCAGTAAAAGCTTTATCAAGGTTTTTTGTCACTAAATGAGCTGGAGACTGTTCTTTATCTGAGATTTCAATGCAGCATTCTGTGGGGAGGAATGCATTTGGGCTGTGCTATTAAAGACACTGGAATTCAATACTATCTTTAAAGAGCAGTGAATTTAATACTAATTGTCCAGTGCTATAAGAGAGCTTTGGCTGATGAAGTCATGACTTTGCACTCTTCCTTACCGTTGAGTTAGCTGATGCTTTGTTAACCTCTGGTCCCTTAGTCAAGACCTTCTAGGCTTTTGTGTTTTCATACGTTTGACATTGCAGCACTAGAATTTGAATTGTTTGGTCAGAAATCCTGGAGAAGGGAAACAGTGATTGTGCTGAAACTCACCCAGAATCATAGTACAAGGGAAATAGTAATATATTTGCTTTGATTTTACTACTTTTGCTTTCAGATAGTGCTTTTTCTTTGGTCTCCCACGTCTGTGCTTTCCCAGACTGAATAGCCACGTCCTTCCTTTATGGAAAGGAAATGCCAAGACTTCAGAACTGTTATTAGCACACATGCTTCACTATGCAAGGCAGACATTGACCTCTCCTCTCAGATTTTAACTGTCAAGTTGCATAGAACAGAGAGTCTTAATATAAACAGTGCCAGAGTGGTAATGCAAACACTATAATGCTTAGAAATGTGTTTTCTTCAAATAATTCTTAAGTGGCTACAGAATGCATTGGGAATAAATAGCTTTAAACATGCTGAATCAGATGCAGAAAGCATTCTGTTTCCAGGTCTCTTTTTGAATCCTTTTTTGAATCCTTTATTTTGGAGCAAAGAATAGTAAAACTATAACTGTAAGGCGTGGTGACCTCGTATGCCAGTAGTGTCTTATCTTTTGGAAAAAGAGAATGCTGTAATACAACTCTATCAATTTTTCAGCTAAAGAGAGAGTCTCTCAAAGGCTGATATTGAGTGAATGTATGAGCTGTGTATTTGACGTGATGCAGTAATTTTCTGTCTTTGAACTCAGTGTGTTTTCTTTTTGGAAAGAGGATTTTACTTAAAGTCAGAGTAGTGTCTAGCAGTATTTGGCATGACGACTTTCAGTCTTCTAAATTCAGAAGTGTCCAGGTCAACTGCTGCTTTTCCATTGCATAGTTTACCTTTTTTTGAAATTCAGTGTCATGTCTTGAAACCTACTTTTGTATGTACTGGGGAGATCTGACAGGTTCTTTACCTTTCCCTTGAGGCAGGGAGGATGCACTAATAGGTGGCTTTCTCCCTCACTATGAGGAACATGAGCAGCATAGCTAGCTCTTGTTCTGCCCCTCATCTTTTCTTTGCCAAAATAAAAGCTTTGGCTTAGTATGTTAGGGTTTCTGTACAGGCTTACTGTTATCTGAGCTCATATTCAAGTCTCTGGGCTATACAGTCAGTATACTGCCTGAAGTAAGGCTATCTGTCCCTGATTTTTATTTTGTTTGCTTTATTTTGGCTTTAGGGTGTTGAGGGAGAAATCAAGGATGGGGTTACGGAAGGAGGACAAATTCATCAGCAAGTCCAAAGGAATCCTACTTATCGTCCCCGCTATCGCAGGTTTGTGCTGTTTTCTTTGCTTGTCATTGCAAATAAGTGTAGTCTATAAAAGCTTGCAGAGTGAAAAGCTGAATTCCCAGGCATTTGAGTACATGTAAGTGGTAGAGAGAATTGGAAGCATTTAAATTACCAGGAGGAATGTGTAACTTTTAGGAATAAGGAAATAGTTGTAGAATTTGCTTGATCTAATTGTGTGTTAGTTACTTCCAGGAGCAGATCAAGAAAGGGCAAAGTTATTTGTATCCTGTACCAACTCGTTTCAATATGTTGCTCAGCTGTGAGAAGTTCCATGTCTTTCCAGCATGAATTCTTGTAGTACTGTACTGTAGGCAAGCAACTTATCTAGATCCTGCTTGACATGGGGCAGGTTGTCCAATGTCTGCAGGGTCAAGATGTGCTTTGTAAAGCTATCTGTGGACTGCAGTCAGTAGTCTAGCACTATGTTGCTTGTGTACTCAGGATTGAGATGGTTGTATCACTCAAGCCTAGGTCTAAGCAGTGATGCTGTTTGTATGTACAAAAGAGCCTGTCTCTTCAGGAGAAAAATGAAGTCAAGTTCTGTCCCCTCCCGGACATCAGATACACAGTAGAATTTCAGTATTGCAATTGCAAGTGCCTAAGGGCTGAGGCTCGGAGGTGGAAGGGAGAGATTTTTAAAATCATAAAATAGTTTGGATTGGAAGGCACCTTTAAAGGTCATCTAGTTCTAACATCCTTGATAGGAACTTCCTACTAGGTCAGGTTGCTTGAAGTCCCAATCTGGTGTTATTGAACACTTTCAGGGGTGGGGCTTTCACAACCTCCTTACACAACTTGTTCCAGTGCCATCCACATAGTAAAAAATAATTTTACTTAAATCTAACCTTCATCTACTCTCTTTTTTTAAAACCATTATTCTTTGTCCTATCACTGCATGCCCTAGTAAAAAGTCTGTCTTCATCTTTTCTGAAAGCTACCCTTTAGATTCTGGAAGTTTAATATCAGGTATCCCTGGAGCCTTTTCTTCTCCAAGCTTGACAATCCCTACTCTCTCAGCTCCAGCCCTTCCTCACAGGAAAGGTGCTCCAGCACTGTTAATATTCATAGTCCACATCTGGACTTGTTCCAGAGCATCCATGGTGTTATGCTCAGGTCCCAGGGAGGAGCCCAGTACTCCAGGTGGGGTCTTGCAAGAGCAGAGTGGGAAAATCACTTCCCTTGATCTGATGACCATGCTTCTTTTGATTTAACCCTCAAGGCAGTTAGCTTTCTAGGCTGCAAACATGCTGCCACCTTATGTTTATCTTTTCATCCATTAACACCCTGTATAACTAACAAATATACAGAGTGGTGTGGTATCTACAGATTGTATAGCTAGAAAGATTATCATGGTGGAAAGGGATAGTCAGAAATAAAATGCTCACCTGTGTCCTGGGCTTGCAGAAAAACTCTAAAGGGAGTGATCTCCAGAAAGAGATCCTTCCTCAGTGGCAGTCAGCCCTTAAATGGGGTCTAGGAGAGGTGGAGCCAGGCTCCACTTGTGCTCACACAGATGAATTGCCTTCACCTGTGCTCCTGCAGCTGATTCAGTGCTTGCCTCAGGTGATCAATCAGAGGTTCATGCTGTGATTCAACAGTTCTCATACACACCCCAAGTCCTTGGCTGGTCTGCTGTCAATCTACTTATCATCTAGTTGGTATTCATGTTTGGGATTGCCTCATTCAATGTGTAAGACTCTTTACATGGCCTTGTTGAACTTTGTGAGGTTCTCACCTTGAAAATCTGTTAGCATTTCTCTGGAAGGCAATTCTTCCCTCTAGTGTCAGCTACACCACAAACCTTGGTGTCATCTGCCAACTTACTGAGGGTGTACTCTTTGTCCCTGCCACTGACAAAGATGTGAGTAGTCCTGATATCAGTCACTGAGGAATGCCCCTGTTGCTGATCTCCACCTTGACATCAAGCTACTGACCACAACTGTTTGAGTGTGACTGCAATTTATTATTATTTTTTTTAATCCACTGAGTGATCCATGTCTCTGATTTGAAGAAGGCAGGCTGAGGGAGCTGGGCTTCATCACTCTGGAGAAGAGAAGGCTCAGGGGAGACCTTATTGCAGCCTTCCAGTATTTGAAGGGAGATTAAAAAGGAGAGAAACTGACTTTTTTTTACATTGATAAACAGTGATAGGGCAAGGAGGAATGGTTTTAAACTAAAGGAGGGGAGATTTAGATAAGATGTCCAGGGGGAGCCTTTCACAGAGAGGGTAGTGAGGTAGTGGAACAAACTGTTGAAACAGATTGTGGGTGTCCCATCCTTGGAGGTGTTCAAGGCCAGGTTGGTTGGAAACCCTGCTTTTGTGGCAGGGGGATTTTAACTAGATGATCTTTGGCTTGAGTTGGAAGGGACTTCATTCTGTGAATTACAATGGATAGTTTCTTAGTAACTTCATCTGCTAGTGTTCCCTTGGGATCCTTAAATGCATCTTACCAGGTCTTGTGGACTTCTGCAACGTCAGGATGCTTAGATGGTCTCAAACTTGATCTCTTCCTACTGTGGGTGGTTCTTCCAGTCTCTTTGTTTTCTGGAGTTGGGCAGTGTGAATAGAGCATTTTCCAGTGAAGATTAATGAGGGGAAAAAAAAATAATAATCAGGGAGTACCTCAGCCTTCTCCTACTATTTTCTTACAAAGAGGGCCCACTTTTTCCCTAGTTTCCTTTTATCACTGACATACTTAAAAGCCTTTCTTGTTGTTCTTAATGTCCCTGATCAGATTCCATTCTTTCAAGGCTTTTGCTTTTATAATCTGATCCCCTGGCTGTGCAGACAATGATTGTGTTCCTCCCAGCTTAGTTCCATCCTTGTTTCTGATCTCCATGTATTTCCTTTTTGTATTTAGGTTTGTCTGGGAGCTTCTTGTGTTTTTTGCCTGACTTCTTTTTAGTTGCCTTGCACTTGAGCTTGTAGGAGGTGATTATTGAATATTTAATCAACTTTTCTGGGCCTCTCTTCTTTCCAGGGCTCTATCCCCTAGTTCTCTACCAGGCAAGTTCCTGAAATCTGTTCTCCTGAGCGATAGTGAGTTTACTGTGTGCCCTCCTTGTTGCCGTAATCATTTTGGGCTCTACCATTTTGTTGTCATTACAGCCAATTATGGAATCATCAGCATTTGAAAAACCTTCCAGGATCATCCACCTATCACCAGTATTTCCTACTAAACCATATCCCTCAGTACAACTTCTAGATACTTCTTCAACACCTCCAAGGATGGTGACTCTCACCTCTGTGGGCAGCCTGTCTCAGCACCTGATCAATCCCTTGGAGAAGTAGTATTTCCTGATGTCTAACCTGAATCTCCTTTGTCACAACTTGAGGCTGTTCCCCCTAGTTTTACTGCAGTGCTGCCCTTGAGTTTCATGTATCTCACCAGGCCTTCCTTGTTGGTGAGAACAGGATCCGATGTAGCACCTGTCCTCCTTGACTCCTCTGTTGCTTTGAAAGAAGCCATGATCAGTGCATTCTAAACCTGGATGGCTTATGCCTTGTTGTGCTGTCCTTCCAACAGATATCAGAGTAGTCAGAGTCTCCCATGAAGATCAGGGCTTGTTGAACATGAGTGCTTGTTCTCCGTACTTCGTGTTTGCATAGAGGCATTTAATTTGGGCCTTTAAACAAACTGGCTTACTGCCTGGTGTGGCTAAAACTCATTTGTGCTCATCAAGTGTTCTTCCTTTGACCTGTGGTCCTGTTGTCTCCCAGGCTTTCAGAATTGTGAGTGGTGTGGGAAGATTAGATGAAGTTCGATTATTTCATTTCTATTTTATTCTGACATAGGAATAAGCTATGAGGAGACATCAAATGAAGGAAGTGAGAGACATGTTGAAAAACGTTATGTTTGAAGCATATAGTTAAAACTTTTTGGTGCAGGATGCTGGGGAAATACAAGCTTGTGTAAGCTTAAGTGGTGTGGGTCACATAGCGAGAAGAGAATGCTATTGCAATATTACTAAATAGGCAGACTGTATCTAGCTGAGGAAATCTCCAGGGTGGAAAACAATTGGACATTAGGGGACTAAAGAGAAATAGGCTTCTTTCTCCTTGCTTTTCCTTAGGGATCTATGGAACCGGGTTAAAGGGGTCCTTGAAGACCCAGTAGGACTTCAAATTAAAAAAAAAAAAAAAATAACCAAACTAAAAGCTATTTGGATTTTACATGAACACAATACTTTCCAGTGCAATAAGCAGTTAACTTGCTGAGTCACCTGTGTTAGTCATCCTGTAAATTGTCTAGTATAGGATTTCTATATTTCTGTCCTTAATTTTCTATTATTAATTCTGACATGACCACTCCAGTTTCAGCCCTCCATGCTGAAGGAATGATTCCATAATTGAGTGACTCGATATAGTTAAAAATATTAGTGTGTGAAATACCCATCCTCTGACTGTTATGCATTTTGAGGTGTTGCCCAATTTCTTTAAACTTCTTGAAGCCCATAAGTCACAAAAAATCAGATCATTTCCTTTTGGAGGATGTGACAAATGTGATGCCTTATGGAGACTACTCTTAAGGAGCAGAATTGCATTAGTCTGCCATACAACATACCTTACTTGGTCCTCCTCATCTGGTCCTTTTTTTTTTTTTTTTTATATATAGCTTATTGAGATCAGGTTCCAGCTTTGGATTTGGATAGATGAATTATGAAATGGGTACAATTCTAGTTCTTTGTTGCATGCTTACTCGGAAGCAGATAGGAAGGAGCAAAAGAATAATGCAAAAGAAAGGAGTTGAACTTCATAGGAATAACGGGGTGGTCCTTGATTGCAATGACATGTTCCATGCGGAGTTAAACTTAACACTCTTGTGCATGCTGAGTCTACAACTATAAGCCTTCCTTCTCCCCTCTGAGGTTTTCTAGCACTTAACAGAGTCATCCTCAACACAAACATATCTGGGACTGCAGGAATGTGGATAATACTGACACTGTAGCAATCTGATATGTATAAACTACTGCTGAAAGTCCTCATTAGCATTGGGCTACCTTCTGTAAGAAGTAGCTTAATATGTACATTCCAATGTCAGTGAATTATGTTTCTGTTTAGGTTAACAGTGCATGTAAGTGCAAGCAGTACCTAAATCTAGTGATACTAGTGTTCCTGTTCATTTTTTTTTTTTTTCCTTGGGAAATCTGAATAGCCTTTTGAAACTGGGTAACTGTGGATTAATTAAGCCACCTAATGGGAACAAGATAGTAGGCCGTGACTTCTAGCCATATTCTGACATTATTGTGGACAGAATACAGTAAGTAATCTTTGTTCCTGGAGTACCCAAGAAAGTATTGCATTTCCAGTGGAGAGCTGAAGGTCACTTACTTGAGATGCGTACTTTGTGGTCAGAGAGGCAACACTGCATTGGTTTGGTTACTTGTGAAATATTCCTGGATATTCAAACTTGTCAAGAGTAAGTGTAATTTCCTGGGAACTGTGGCATTCAGTTATAAGGCTGGGCGGCTGTGTAACTAGTGCTACCTGACTGGCTTAATTGGTCACTGGCTTGTTTGTTGTTGTTTTCTTTTTTAATTCTCTTAGCCAACAGTTCAGAGAACAGTTCATCAATATGGTGAGCCATGGGGAGCCGAGGCACTCCAGGTTGCCTAATGGATAAGGCATTGGTGGTTCAGTGGTACAATTCTCTGAGCAGAGTGAGGCTGACCTACCTTTTTATTGCAGAGCAGGCAGCAGGACATGCTGTTGTAATTCCAACAGTGAAAACACTCAGGCTGCATGTCTATCTCAATGAACTAGGACTTTCCCTTGAACTGTATGACAGCGGAACTCCAAAGGAATTGTTTGCTTGCATTCTAAACTATGAAAGGTGGTAGTTGGCTAGTGAGGATTTTGCTGGGCTGAAATTAAGTTAGTTTAACCGTCTCAGGCTACTTTTGTACTTACATGCACTTTCCTGCCTCTTCAAGAGGGCCCCTGCGTCCACGCCCTGCCCCGGTCACTGGAGAGGCTGAGAACAAAGAGAACCAGCATGAGGCCAGCGCTGTGAGTCAGCAGCCACTTCGCCGTGGGTATAGGCGCCCATACAACTACCGGCGTCGGCCTCGTCCGCCCAACACACCAGCTCAGGATGGGAAAGAGGTAAGCATGCTCCTGGCCACGTGGCAGAGGCTGAGTTTTGATGGGATGAGTGCTAAGAGGTTTGGGCAGGGGGGTTTGACAAGTCTGTCGGTACGTTACAGAAAACTGATGGCAAGTTGATGGTAAGGGTAGCTGGCTTAATTGCCTGTTTCTTATGGACTTGTTTGAGCAGCTTACCTTAAATGAAACCAGCAGTGGGATAGGAATTGCTTCATAGCTTTCAATTGGAGTCAGACTGTAATAAATACCTCTGAAATAGAAAGAAACGCCTTATCTTCCAGCTCTGTTTCCAACTATGTTTCTGAAACTATCCATTTCCAGGACAGGAGATGGATTTGAAAGTTCCAGATCAATTTTTTGAACTGCACAAACTAGATTTAGGTTAACTGTTAGTAATTAGACTTCACCTTAGTGAGAAGACTTTATTATTCTATCCTATCCATTCAAGGTGGTTTTCTCCATGTCAGAGCTGACTAATTAAAAAAAAAAAAAAAAAAACCCTGCTATTGGACAGTGAAGGGACTTACTCAGTTTTACCTATAACAAAAATGTTATTGTCTTTGTGTCTCAGACAAAGGTGGCTGAAACACCTGCCGAAAATCCTGCTCCAGTGACTGAGCAGAGTGGTGCTGAGTAATGTCAGGTTCTGCAGGCACCTCTACTATCCCTCAGGTAAGGAGCATAGCTAGTATCTTTTTTGAGTGAAATGGGATTTCTAGAACTCCTGGCATGTTGTCACATATCTATATTTCTGGCTAGATACTTGTAGTAACTTCTGAAAGCCTTTTATAGGTGAGTCAAGGAATTTCTTCCTCTGCATCTGTCTGTGTCTGTCACAAAGTAAAGTTTGCAGTATATACATACTTCATGAATACCATCTGTTGATGAGTTGGTGCTTTAGGAAGATGTGGTACTCAATTTATAAATAAGATATGCTGGTCATGCTTATCTTGCCATTAATAAGAATAGAATATTCTCTGCACTAAGAAAGCAAAACTTTAAACTGCTTTTTTAACTTGACTTTTTTCAACAGGTGTCCTAAAATATAACTCAGAAATAACACCAAAGAAACATTCAAGCAATAAATAAGCAACAGTGATGAAAGCAAAGATTCAAAACATCAGAACTAAAAGCAGGAGGAAAAAAAAAAAAAAATACCAGCAGCTGAGATCCAGGGAACGCCTGCAAGACAGATGCATAAAGAGTGAGATTTGGAAAGAGCAACCTCCCCAGTTTCAAGAGCAACTGTGGGTTTTTTTCTTGTTTAGAATTTCAATGTTTCACTAGTGTTGAATTTTTTCAGTTTTTCTTTTGGTATCAAACTGAAAAGGGGAAAATACCCAATGAAAGAACTGAAATAGAAATCAAATGCTTTTCTTTATTGGATGCTGGTGCTAGACCTCCCAGGTGTGTTGAGTATTTTTTTTTTCCTGTGCCAGTCCTGTTCCCTTCAGGACATGGGGAGGAGAAATTTCAGCTTTCCTTGGTAAGATCTATTTGAAACTGTGCAGCATGGGTGACGTTCCTTGCAAATAAAAGTGATTTCAACTACCAAAACCAATCCATTGAAGTGTTTGTTTATATTTACCTTTAAAATCATTCATGCTCTAATCTTGCTGCTTCAGTATTTACATGTGAAAATGAGCTGCATCTCTTAATATGCAGTGATATGTCTTGTCTAAAACACTGCTGGATAATACATGTGCAAGGACTTGGCTGGGTTAGTTATGGCTACTATAAAACAAGAACAGCTTCTGCAAGGTAATTAGACAACAGAGCTGTAACACTACACTACCCTCTCTGCATTTCTGATTTTAGGTTTTTGTGTTACTGTATTGCAGCAGTTGTTTGTAATATCCAGAGTGGATTAGTGGGATATTTTTCCCTTCTGGTTTGCAAGGTTTTTGTTATTGAAGCAGTAGAATCTAAGCCTATAGGTTTCTCTCTGCCCAGACTTAGGCTGCTACCTCATTCTAGCAAATAAAGTTCCAAATAATGGCAGTACATTTCATTAGTCTCTACAGTTTTCCTTACCTGAAAACAATGAAGTTTTTCCACCTGCTCCATTTTGTGTTAGTATAATTCTTTGGTTATTAATATGCGTGAGGTTGTGGTTTTTTTTTTTTTGTGTCCATCCCCAAACCTGGGCTGTCTTGCATGTTATCACACTACTGCCAGCTGCTGAGTATGGGTGTGTTCCTTCAGCTATCTTGTTGCATGCTTCATTCTCTGGCCTGGTATTTCTCACGTTCTTGCTTTTACAGTTGATGTTATCCTGACCTTGAATAATGTATTTGTTTCCTTAAAACGCCTAATTCTGTTCCTAGTGATACAACACTTATCCAGCCTCTAGTGAATTTTGCTTCAGGTAAATCCCCTTTGGTATGCAGCAACACTGTATACATTTAAGACTAAACAAATGGAGAGATTTGTGGCAGGTGACTCCTACTACTGTTTTCCCCCTCCTACTTTCTCTATTCTAATAATTAAAAATCATATGAGATTCTCTGGGGTCTTACATTCCCATGTTACTCCTCAGGAAATGGGGAGTGGGGAAAGGAAGGGAGTCTTGAGTAGTAATAATAAGGGCTGGGAGCAAATTGCTTTGGAGCCTTACTCCCTTTCTCTTCACCTGGTGTGAGGGAGGGATAAGGGAAGGCATGATGCATGGATTGCCCTGCCCCTAGCTTCCAGTATTAAATGTTTCTTGGCTTGCTTTTATGATCAGTGAGTTAAGAACTCTGAATAAACAGTGAAGTGAAAACGACAGACTTGGTTCAGGAATAAAAGTGCTTTTGCTTCCTTCGAGCACGTGCAGTGATGCACTCATTCACTGTAGAGTAAGCTCATATTGCAGCACTGATCACTTCCATGCCTGCTTTCAGAAGTGCTAGGTAGGGACTACTGTGAGATACGTTCTGTGCTGAAACCACTGTGCTACAGACAAGAGAAGAGAAGGAAACAGTGATCCTCATGGATCTTTTCTGGGAGAAAAAGAATATGGCTGTTCTAACAGATTAAAAACTTGACAAAAGCACATATACCTCTCAAAAATCCCTAAGTAATACTAACTAAATCCACTTCAGGCATATGGGTGCAGGGCTGTCTTGGTTCATTATAATCTTAACAGACATTTTTAAATGCTGTAGTAATGCTTTGATATTTACTGTATATGGAGGCATTACTTTTGGAGCAGCCTTATTTCATTCTATTGGCCCATGATGTCAGAAGCAGGTGTTGGTATGGTAGCAGAGACTGAGCCTTCCTGCCAATATTCTGTTACAGTTTGTTACTGTGTGACACACGGCAGCTGAAGGGCAGTCTGACAAAATGGCATCTAAAATGGAAGGTGCTTATGAAGCAAAGGTAGGTCACTGAATTCCTTCTTGGGGGGAAAAAAGTGGCACCCACTGGCATTCACTGATGCTTGCTAAACCTTTACGGAGACCAAACACTGAATGTTAGGACAGTTTGTGTGTTTCAGCAGTGGCAACAGCAACATAAAAGGTAAGCACATTCTGGATAGCCATACACAGCACATATGGAATTGCAGTCAGATATTCAACTCAAAAATTTGATCGTATCTCTTTACTAGGCTTATATCAGGCTTATCTTAACATTAAAAAAATATATATCCCTTGCCTTACAGTTATGTCCTGTTCATGTCACTATTTTTGGTGGTACGTACATAAAGGCATAGGAAGTATAAAATAAGATCAAGTCTCTGATGAGCACCTTGAGAATTGTGACCACTTCCATTGAACCAGACATTGATGCCTTGTTTTCACAAAAACAAGGTCAAATGTCCAACTAGTTTTGCTTTTGTTCTCCTTATTTAATGTTTTAATAAGTAAATATATAAGAGAATATATAAATAAGTTTTATTTTATATATATATATATATATATATATATATATAGGCTATATATTTAATATGATGCTTAAGAAAATTTCATTCAGCAAGGCCCAAGCATGGTCTAATCATTTTACAGTAAATCATTTGTTGTTGTAAAGCTTGCCATAAAGGCTGAGAAAACCAGTTCTATGTGCATGCTTATTTCATGCAGGGACATGTGCTTCAGACTCCTTAGAATGTTCAAATGAAATTCACGATCTGGATACTAAGAGTTGCAGTGACCTTAGTTGTAGAGTAACAGCCTTGAATTCTTCAATTTGTAGATCCCTGGAAACTTTCAAAGATGATTAAGAGCTATACAAGTAAATTTGGTTTGGCTGTTCAGAAAGTCTATTTGCAAATTCTGAGTTTAAGTCTTAGATGTTGTCCTTTCTATTGGTCTAGCCTTTTTTCATCTGTAAAACTAGTTGGCCCTCAGCATCACTGTAAAGTTGTAGCAAGGAAGTATCTGCTCTGAGATGCTAATACATGGCTGGGGAAAAGCAGTCATACCAGCCAAAAGGGTGGTGAGAATTGGAAAGCACCAGTACTGAAAGAAATAAATATTCTAACCAGAGCTTTAGGCTATATTTCAACAAGGAGTGAGATGCCTAAGTAAGTGAAATGCAGAGGCCCCACAGGCCCTTCTCAATTCTGCTTTATCTTGTCATTACAGGCTTTTTGGATGAGACAGCACATGGCTTAGTTTGCTACTGCTTGGATAGTAGCATCCATCCTTGCCTTGAAGACAAGTTAGGTAGCTAACTATGATCTGTAAATCTTGTTGTGATGAGCACTGTCTTTATTCATGCAATATGAATTAGCATTAACTAATTCTAGTGTCTCTCCAGATCTGCGTCTAAAACAGCTAACAACAAAGTTCAGCTGATTTGTGACTTGCTTATGAAATGTTACCATCAGAAGGTTAGGAAAGAATAGCTAAGGAAAAAATTCCTTATTCCTGCTATATTTGGGCACATAGATTGGCAGTGCACCAGTGCCAACTTCTCTTGCTTGTGTGGCTGTTGCACAGAAGCATGCTTTTCTGTAGAATACAGCACAGGAAGCACTTGTGTATAACTGCTGTAAGGGCTGAAATCACATAAGTAGAGTTCACTGCAAGTGAGCATAAAGCTTAACTGTTACTGACACTTTTCTTTACACAAATATTCCATGATGGATGATAGAGATGTCAGCCCAGCAATCTTGATTACTGTTTAAGTTACGTGAACACTAGATGAAGGTGTTGATCCACCACCTTTTTATTTTTGTAAGTTAAATTTGTATTCCATACCCCTGTGACAGGACATCAGTTGGTTTCCACTGCAGATCTAAGATATCTAACTGGGCTGAAATGTGGAAGATGGTGAGATGCGTGAAACAAAACTCCCTCTTCCTTCAAGTTCATTATCAATCAATCTCAAAAAAAAAAAAAAAAAAAAAAAAAGTTAGTAGAAAAAGACAAGTATAATAATCTTGTCCCTATTCTGGTGCATCTCCCCAAGTCCCGTGTAGTTATCATTATGCAGCTGAGAAGAAAGGTTTAGAGAGGAAGAGGCAGTTTGGTCTACTAAGGTAGCCAGATTCTCCATGTTCTACTTTCTCACAGTTCTAACCTGCAGTGTCTTGTTCTCTTCCCAACTTCTCTCCCTAACCCTCGTCATAGGTGGGTGTTTGTTGGGCATGTGGTTACTAGGGTAAGAACTTCCACAAGTAAGAAAAAGGATGACCAAAAAAATTACACCACACAATCATAAAATTCAGTAAATCTCTGCACTACATGAGCAGTTAAAAGACTTGTGACACTTAAAAAAAAAAAAAAAAAAAAAAAGAAAGAAAAAAAAAGAAAAAAAAGAAAAAGTAAGTTCTTAATGCAGATTTAAAAAATGGAGGTGATGCAGTCAAGGTACTAAAGTGCAAACAGGCCATGAAGGTCCTCCAAGGAGTGATCAAATTGTTATTTGGCCCTACCTTGGCTGGAATGAAGACCTACCTTCTGCAACAAAAGTCAAGAATGTAGTTCAAACTTTCCATCTGCCTCTAGAAACAGTAGGTATAAATGGGGGTAGGGAGGGCAAGTTGACATTACTTTAGGGTGCTATTACTTGCTATGTTGCTGCTTGCTGTAAATCAGCCTGTTAACATAATGATTTTAATGGAAACTTACACGGTTTTCCAGCTTAGATAAAATATTTATGAATTAACTGCAAGCCACAAGGTGGTGCTCTTAGCCTGCATCTTGACTACAAGGGAAATTTTTTTACTATTCCTTTTTAATAACATATAGAAGGAACATAGGGAGAAAGGCATGTTCTATAATAAGATCAATTTGGTTTCAGCAGCAATCCCACAGACTGTACCACACAAACTGTAGTTTATAACTGAACATTTTTTTCTTACCTTCAGAGAATTTCAAGAGAATAAACTTTCTGGGACAGTCAATTCAAATAAATGGCTGAAATTCCAAGGAAATATAATGGAGAAAAAAAAAATTACAGATGAGCTACCTAATAATAAAATTCTGTTGATGAACACCTGGTAGGTAATCTCACATCAAACTAGCATGATGAATCTGCAAGTCTAAAATTGTTAATTTGGTAAAAAATGAATTATTTACTTTTCCTTGAAAGGCACATTAGTGTAGTTGTGTACTGCATACCCTCCCCTTCTCCCTCCACTCAATTTGTTTATGAATCAAAGAATTCCACATAGGCATACTGACTGTGAAGTGAGTGTGATCTTCCAGGAAAAACAAAAAAAAACACTTATAGCATCTTAAGTTCTGTATGCACATACACTATATAAGGTGAGCATAATAAAAATTAGAAACATAGTTACCTTTTATCTTCAACAATATTAATATATCATAAAAATATTTCCATAAATGTAAACACATGCATAGTTCTTAGTAAGGTGAACAGCAATTCCATGGTGTTTGTGAAAACTCCATGCCTGGAATACAAAAAAACTGGAGACTTTCCAAGCGATACAGTTCTGCCAGCATGACTAAATTCAACTTATTCCTTTTTTTGCTCTTCACCTTTAGATTCTCTTAGCACTTCTTGCCATTTTTTCTCCATTTCTTCTCTGCAGTTCAGGAAGGCCTCTTCCAAGCGCCTCATGGAATTGGTCAGGTCAGGGTTGGTACGCATTACTACCATGTCATATGCCATCCAGGTTGCCTGAACTATAAACACAAGAAATACTACCAAGCCAGAAATCTTGGCTAAAAACACAGGGGGTGATAAAACAAAAAAATAAAATACATTAATTATTATCAGTTCAGATTTTATGTTAGAGGAAGCCTGACATACAACAGAAGAAGCTGCCCACAATAATGCTCAAAATTCATAGATATAATAAATCTGATCTTATTTCCTTACAAATGTCTCAAAATACTTCAGTATGGAAGTATACGGATGTATACACTGTAAAGTACGAAAGGGTGATGGACATTTTTACCTACAGTTTACAACAAAGTGAGTAATTAAAAAGAAAGGCACTACAGGCTTTTTTAAAATAAATGAACTGAACCAAAGAATTCCCACCAGATCAGTAATGTTGAGGAAGAGGAAAGCAGTGAGGAAGAGGAGAAGTAAGAAGGCCACAGAATGGAGATGAAAAACTATTAAGAACAGTGAAACTAATGAGATCAATTTAGAAAAAAATAAGTATCTGATAAAGCAGAGGAAATTATTTTTGTATTTATTGATATTTTCCTTCTGTTTTATCATAAACGGACTGTTGTTTTCTCAGCAACATTTGCAAGTTGCCACTAATTGCAAGTTGTTTACTTATCCCTTTTCATCTATTCATGTTGGTTGCATATAGTTTCTGATAGAACTGCTGCAGAAAATAAAGAAGAATATGCAGTCCCTCCATAGGTAAGGGACTAAGATTAAATTTGCAAAGGAATCTTCCATGTGACTAATAAATAATTAAATATCACACACTAACTTGAGTTACTGCACATTGCACCATTTTTCAAATTTAAATTTCATTTTATGTTTTTATCTGTTTTAATTGATAGTTACATGCCTTAATATTATTTCTGTTCTCAGCCACCACTCTGAACCAAGCATGTTCTACTAACTTTTAGTTTGATTGCTTGCACTCCTTCTCTCAATTCAGGGCATTAGCTGATGGTGATTTTTCACACTTACGTTTCTATGACATGGGAAAGTTCATAGCAATAAATATAAATAATACATCTTCAATGTCTTCACTCTAGTAAACAAATCCATATTGTCTTAATAAAGACCTTTACCTGTCAGTTTTTCCATTTCCTCCAGAAGTTTTTCTAGGTCTCTGTTCAGGTCCTCTATCATCTTCAGCATATTGTCATAGTTTCTCTCTTGAGGTTCTTGTCTGGCCATCTACAAGGAAAGCAGGTGTTTTATAATTTATTTTACTTTAAGGTGAGTTGATTTTCCCTGTTGAGGGAAAGCAATATTGCAGTACAATTTATTATTTAAAATATATACAATTCTCAATTTAGATATGAATTCATTAAGAATGTGACCTGAAAGTAACCGGTTAACAACTGTCTGTTGCATACTACTTTTAATTCATTTTGAAACCATTTTCAGTGGTTCAGAGAGAATTACTCTCAAGATGCTGTATTTGTGCCAAGTAATGATTTTAGTATCTGCATCAAAGACATCGTTAGACAATTTCATCTACTGTTCTGCTACAGTTGTCTTAAAGCCTCTCTCTCAAGTATTCTGACACAGGGCAATCCCTGATTTCCAACCTGAGCTGTAAAACCCCCACTCATGTCCAGTATTTCACACACACATGGTAGCACCAGATAACTGCACATACTAAATTCTGTAACTGTATATGCAGCTAAGCTGTGGGAGCAACCTCAGCTTAAATTTACTGAAAGCAAAATAGATAGACTCAACCTCATCACTGAGTTTCAGAACCTCGGTATTAGCCAAAAAAATGAGACCTTGCTTTTATTTCCTTTCCTGAAAACAAGGGATGGGGTGACACTATGGAAAGAGCTCCACTGTGGTAATTACATCACGCAGTTGGCAAAGTTTTCGTCAGTTTTCTTTTAAATACATGTAATTGTTCGAATACTGTCAGAGGGTACCCACTTTCAGGTTTTTATTGTAGATAAATGTGGAAGAAATGCCACGAGTTACAGTGGATTTAAAGCACTTAAAGCACTTCAGATGAACGTCAAGCTTCATCGGGGTGCTTCGTGTTCAGTCTTACTAAGTAACCGCGCGCCGACAAAGCCAGGGCGCCAAGAGTCTTAAAAAAGCGGCCACGGTCCCGATTTCACCAGGACCTTCAGCCGGCACGGTGGCTGCAGGGCTCCTGGCTGCCAGCGCCGCTGCGAGGCCGGCCGAACACCCTTCAAGCAACAGCACACCGCCCGGACAGAAGGCAGAGAGCCGGCTTTCCAGATCCCTGCACCTTTGCGTTCACACTCCGGCCCGTACCGCCTCTCCCTCGACCCCTCCGCAACCGACACGCCCGCCGCCCCGCCGCCGCCCAACCGATCCCCTGGGTTCCTCCCCACCCCTCCGAAGTCGCGTGCGCAGCGCGGTTCCCTCATGAGCCTAGCAGCAGGGACGGGCGGGAACGGGACACGAGAAAATGCTGTTCTGCCCTTCCTGTCCGCTCGTGCCTGCTCTGCCCTCGAGCTCACCGCCTCGGTTAATCTTCTGTTTCACGACAAGAAACACTTCGACGGGCAGTTAGGCGGCCGTGGGAAAGGAAGGGGAAGGACGCGGGGCTGGAAGTGGCGGTGCGGCCGGCCAGGTGTGACCCGGCGCCGCTACGGGAGGGTGCTCGCCGGTTCTAGCAGCGTCCTGTCTGCCCAGCCTTCCTTCCAGCGCGGTCGCAGCCGGCCCCGGGCCGCGTCAGAGCGGGCGCCTCAGCGGGCCCCCGCCGCGGTGCTCCCTGGTTATGGCCTCCGGTGCGGGCCTGGCCCGCTGCCTGCTGCGTGGTGCCTCGTCCCCGGCCTGCCACGAAACATAAGTGCTGCAGGAGGCCGGAGAGCAGGAGGTAATCCCCCCTTACCTGTCTGCGGTTCCCCGGTTCCCACAGCCCTACATCCCCCGATGCTGGCGTCCTTCAGCCGCCCTGCCGCTCCGGGCCGGGGACCCCGAGCTGTTGCCGTGAGAGATCTGAAAATAGGTGCCAAGTGATGCCTCAAGCACAAATTCTCGAAGTTGGATGTGTCTGCTTTCTTTCCTACAGAGGTACACCTGCCCGTCTTCATGATCTTTGTCTTTACAGTTATTGGAGAAGGTGTTTGCAGGGCTAGGCAAAGAAGGGCACGAAATTTTACGATGGCTGAGAAACGAGGCACAAAGTTTGTCTGATTTGTTGATAATAGGCATTAAGTGGTATATAGGAGGCTGAGGGTCACATCCCTTTGAATGGCTCGCATCCCTGCTCATGTCCTATTCTCTATTCATATCCAAGCCTTACTATCTGCTTCTACTAGTATCCAAACCTTAAACTGCCCTCGTTTTTAAATAATGGAGTATATTGGTATTTTAATTATGTGTGAAACTTTCACTCATCTCTTGTTACCACTGCTCATTTCACTGCCAGCTATTACTTATTGTACACCATAAGTAGCTAGTTTGAATATTGCACTCCATCCCTATACAAGAAAACTGGAATTTATCACAAAGTATTGTGTTGCTAAAATTTTGCAAGGTGTTGAAAGAAGGCAAAATCTTTCAAAACATATGAAAGAAAAGATAATACTTGGCTAACTAAGTTCTTGTATTGCTGGAGGCAATAGAAAGCATTGTGAGAAACACCATTTTATGTTGTTTCGAACTTTAGTTTCCCTAAGCAGTCCCACTGCCGGCTGAGGCACAGTGCTCACTAATGGATCCTTTGTTTGAAGTGGCACAGCCATTCTGATGTTTTCTGGCACCCCAGCTTCTGAATTCTCTGCCACTAAGCAGTCTCTCAGATGCAGCCGCTTATGTATATGTGTGTGTTTGAATGTTCTTAGGAAACTTGTACTTGCTCTGGTATTGTTGTTATTTAATATTGCTCCCTTGCTCTGTGAAAATCTGGGCAAGCATTCTGCGTTCTTGCAGTAATTTGTTCATGCATTTCATTCTAGTAGCTTAGTTATAGCTATTATAGCTATATCTATATAGTTGTTGCTAGTGTATAATACTATCCAGACTAAAATCCATTTGCAGTGACACTGGTAGACAGGAAAATGTTCAGTTTCAGAGTGTCTGATTTATTTGTCATTTTATTGACTGTTCTTTAGGGCACAGTGATGTGCTAGAAAGTGAACTGCAGGTCAAAAACGCATTATTAAATGGAATAGTTCTTGAACATATTTTTATGTAACAGCGTTTCATAAAACTTTTGTGATATGTACTTTTTAGTTCTAGTAAGGTCTCTGTGGTCAACCTTTCTGGGAGAGAGGTGGCTCCTCTACTTCTTTTTGTGTGAAGTGGTGCAATTTATTCAATACTTATACTGGGTGCTTAAGTTAAATATGTTCAACAACTTCAAGGTTTTGACAACCGGAACCATTTATTCTCACTTGGAAATGTGAACAATGAAAATGCAGTGGCAAAACCCAGGAACTTAAGAAGACCGTTTATATGTTTAACAGAAAAAATAAAATAGAAAAAGGTCAGATTAACAGAAGAATATATATACATATTCTCAGGAACCTGGTTGCTAAGGTAATTAACACCCAGAAACTACACAGAGCTAATGGAAATGCAAGTGATACATGCTGCACCTACTTTCCAGTCTTACCAGTTCATCTGTTGCCCTTGGAGTCCTGGAAAGAATCCATGGGATAACTGGATAAGCACTGATTTTGGGATGCCAAAGAGCAGATCCTTTCAGAAGAAACTTGCTTTCTGGACAGTCACTTGGAGTTTGCTGATTTTTGTGACTTTTCAACCACAAGATAAGCTGTGTGGTTTTAACAGTGTCTTCAGGTAGGAAGACTAAGTGTTTTGTGGCTGCATTTGCCATCAGACACCAAAGTGCATTGTAGAGATTACTGAGCAGTTGTGTGTGGATGGGATGGTTGTTTCATATGCTGTAGATGTCTCAGAGATAAAGAGGACATTTTTGTTAACAGAACTGCCACTCCACCAATTTCAGTGCACCTAATCATACTTGCATAAGGAAAAACAGAGGAAAGAACACAAACATTTAAACAGGCAGTGTTCTCTTTAGGGATGTGCACAGACAAAATAAATAACTTATAACAGAAATTTACATTTAACGGGATGAAACATGACAGTAAATGTCTGCTGTCCCTTAACCGAACAGGAGGAAGGGTTTATGGACTAGTGAAGAAGACTAGTCTGAGACCTGAACTCTGAACTGTTTAAATATCTTCTCCGACCAGTCTGACTGGGAGCACAGCAGAAAGATTAACTAGGGAAACAAAAAGGAAACAAAAAGCAGTGGGGGTTGCTACCTTTGCATATGCGTACCTTGAATATTAACCCCTTGCATATCCCACTTTTTTTTTCTTCCTGCAGATGGGGTCTTTAGAAAACTGGGGAAGGAGGAGTGAAAGGAGGAATACTATCAGTTATTGTATTTTGAAAGCCTAATCCCTAAATAGGAATCAGGTTCCTCTGAAGAGATTCCCCCAGCTGCCTTTACAAAAGGAGTCTGTGGAAAGCAACATATTTCAATAAATAACACACATAAAAGAGGAAATGTCATTTTCAATGTATCCACTTATTAAACAGGAATGGGTTATAGGACAGATCCTGTGCATCTTCATGGAAAAAATAACAGTTGATGCAGGTTAGCACCAGAAAAAGAGGATGACAGAAACCAGAGCCTGAGCTTGAAATTTGCAGCTGGAGTGATCTTTGTAACTGAAGTAAATGCTCTGTCTGGAACATGGGTCTCCATCTTCCTGAATTCTTGGGCTGCACTGTGTGAAGAGGAATTGTCTTGGACAATATATAAAATACATAATGTAGCTAATGTATTTAAATACTTATCTTGTGTTTTTAAATATTTTTTATTAAAGCATTAAAAAAGGAGAGCAACAGAAACATGAAATCAGTGGGATATTTGACCTTGGTTTTGGGAAAATAGTGCATCAATGTCTGTCTCATTCAGTGAAAGAAGTTGCAATACTTAGTGAGGTCTCAAGGTGCTCGTCAGAGAGTTTTGATCTAATTGTGCCCTTCCAGTACTTCAGCCTTGAAAACAGTTGTTCACAAATGTATGTACTGCCAAAAAAAAAAAAATTGCTGACAAAAAGTAAAGCGTTATTGTTAAGTGAGGGATATTTTTCTCCGATAAGTTAGATCTCAGCATTTTATCCCAACTCAGCCACCTTCCTTCAGAAAAGCAAAAGATGCCCCCATAATCAGCATCCATACTTTGAAGGAACTCCTAGAACTTCAATCCTTTTGCCATCATGAAATTCACAGCTTTGCTGATGATTTTCATGACTTCGTTGATTTTGAAAGCTTTGCATGTAAATTTTCTTGTTGAACGATGCAGCACCATTTCATCAAACATGAGTTGCTGACAGCAGTTGCATCGCCTTCCAGTAACTTTTGTAAGACCCCCTTTTTTAGCAGTTGTCACCGGGGCACCATCAGTATCTGTACCAGACATGTTGACAAAGGTTAAAGAAAACTGCTCTAATGTAATTAAAGTAAATGCAGTAAATAAATAATTTCTTCAGTGACATTATACTTGTTATCAGTACCTCTCTTGAAAATGGCAAGCTGAGCCGTGCCTGCAGCATCAGTACTTTCATGTGTCACCAAAGCATAAGATTTGAAATTACCAGCTTCACTCTCCAAATTTCTTTTAACAGTTTCCTGTTTCTTCAGTTTGTTTGGCTATGGTCCAGTGTGACAAACTGATTCTAGAAAGGTCTGCTTTTTTATAAAGACACATTATGTCTGCCATGCTTTTCATATGTTGCTTATTAAACTCATTGTCAGTAAATGGTTTTGATTTTTTTTTTTTGCATTCAGATTCCCTACCACATAACTCGCTTTTACAATAGAGTCCATTTGAGTTGTTTGGTTTTGTGCTAAGGGATCGGTGTGCACCCAGAGCCCAGTCAGAACATTTAGAGGGGAATTGCCACCACCCTGATGGCATGGGGCAGGGAGTGGGCTGCACTGTGAGCTGTACTGGGCCACATGCAGGATGAGGGCCACAGGTTGGATGTGTGCAGTCTAGGGGATTTCTCTTTTTTCAGGAGGCAAAACTCCACATCACTGCACTATTCATTAATACTGTTCTGCTCACTTCTGTCGGCCTATGTAGAGATCAAACAATGAAGAGATACAGTCCCAGTATTCACCATTTTGCACACTTAGACATTAAATACCAGATGGAAGAATAATACCAGAGTGAAGCTTGGGATGTTCTGCTCTGCAGATATATTGATATATGGTCATTCTTGCAGATAAATTATCTATTGTGTTTCAGTATGTAACTTGACCTCTCTACCTCAGTCTTCCCTAAATGAATTAATGTACACAGCACCAAAGTATTACTACAAATAGGAATGGTTTGCTCAAGGAGTTGGTAGAGATCATATCATCTTCATGTCCTCAAAGCTATCCGTGGCATACTATTGACTATAAAATGAACTTTGTCTCTCAGTGTTAGGTCTCATGTTGTTTCCTCTTGTAATACAACAACTTTCCACTTGTGTGATATAGGTAAGCAAATAATCTTGTAGAGGCTTGTTTAACCAGGAGTCAGAAATCATGAAACATGAGATTTTTCAGTGATAGGCAGAGGCAGTCTTTGAGCTTATGTGGGGAGCCTGCAATCAGGCAGCTGGCATTTAAATACAGTGGTTGCCTGGAAGAAAGTCCCCAGGGCAGAAATGCTGAGAAAAT